CACTACTGACCAAGGCCGACAATTTCAATGTCACTTGTTCGCATCCCTCACCTCTCTTCTTGGCATTCGCCATATTCGCACAACACCATACCATCCATCTGGAAATGGGATGGTGGAACGCTTTCACCGATCTCTCAAACAAGGTCTGAAGTGCCACAGTAGCACACACACTGGACAGAAGCCTTACCCCTAGTCTTGCTTGGTCTTCGCACAGCATTCAAAGAAGACATTGGTAGCACTTGTGCCGAAATGTTATATGGTGCAACCCTCCGTCTGCCAGGTGAATTCTTTCACCCAGAATCTACTCCAGTTATCGACCCTCCAACATTCCTTCAACGTTTACGTGAGATCATGAGCAATATCTCGCCAAACCCAACATCTTCGCATAACCAGCCAAGCTATTTTGTACATCCTGCGCTTGAAACATCTTCGCACGTATTCGTGCGCAACGATGCAATTAAGCCAACTTTAACACCTTCATATGATGGTCCATTCAAAGTTGTCAAACGAACACCGAAACATTTCACCATCATCTGCAATGGCAAACAATCAGTGATTGGAATCGATCGTCTCAAACCAGCATTTCTAATGCAAGATCCAACAACTTCCTCATCAACATCACTCCCGGAAGAAAGCTTACATCCCGTTAAAGAGCGACCTAAAACTACCAGATCTGGACGGTTATTCTACGCTACGAGAGTCGACAGCAAGTTGTAGGCCGCCAGATGTCGCTGCTAGTAAAAAACAGGTCTGCCCAACATCCTATTTTCTCTGAGTACGGAAGTTGTCGAAAGCGCGTGAAAAAGTGTTGCCGCGTCGTCAATCAGGGTTGTCCAGTTGACGTACTAAGTAGACAATGGCTTTGTATGTGTTTTCGCCGCTGATTTTTTTCATATTTAAACGAAGAATACCGTCGTAGATCTCTGAATCGATGGCGAATTTATAGAAAATATGTTGATGCTTTTGCTCTGCCAAAAGATGTTTTCATTGCGTATTTCAGATTGCCAAAATTTATAGTTATTTTAATTTGGGATGAACTAAGAGAGTATTTGGAGCCACATTCAGAAAACAAGAACGCAATTTCTACTGAAAGAAAGGTTATACTATTCCTGAAATTATAGATATAAATTGTAATTGTACGCTTTAAAAATGTAGAAGATAATAAGTTTATCAAGCACATAAAGCACTTCTTCATTTAATACAAATAATGACATCCGATAAGCTTCTACTCGATTTATGTACAGCAAGAATTACGTTTACTTTAAAATCTAACAGTTGAATACCTTACGAATAATACTGTGAACACAAAAACTGTCGTTCATTATTACGCGAAATTCACACTAAAATAAAAATTTAAAAAATAATAATAATAATAATAATAATAAAACTATAAAATAGATTTATAATATTTTTTTCAGTAGTTGTACTACTACTAGTGTGATACTTTTAAAAATAAGTTTTAGCCCAGAGGGGCTATTAATTTCGTTTTGCCATTTTGTGGCGTTTCACGATAAATGGCGTTTCACTTTTCAAATCGTTGCCACCAAGTATTATCGCACTCTATTATATTTTAAAGAAATTAAATAATGAGGAATCTGCAGAATGTATGAATGTTTCTCGCACTGTGATTAAAACAACGGTACCTAGAGCCATGAAATTCTGAATAACGTAATCCTCCATCCTAATATAGGCATCTGGAGGCCCAAATTTGGAACTGGGAATTTGTATTACTATCCATTTCATATATCATATTTTGTAAAGCATTTATGAGTTTTTGATTAAGAAACCCAACGATTTCAAAGCGAGCAATGGCAAAAAACACTTTCATCTCTAGCGCGCGAGACTATGTATCGGAAATTCAAAAAATATGCTTTTTTAAAATTATATGATATTGCTGTTGAATTGAATTTTATGGTTTAAGTGCGAAAAACATGATATTTAATAAATAAAGGTAACACGCAAAACGTTAAAAAAATGGCTCTTTGGGAGTAATATAAAATCTGAAAGCTTTCAGAGTTTTTTTTTTTTTTTTTTTTTTTTTTTTTTGTGTGTGTGTGTGTGTGTGTGTGTAATTTTAATACGTTTTAAAACTGGTTTCTAAGGTGAGGACTTTCTAAGGGAAACTGGCTCGTATACACATGGGGAAAACCACAAAAACATGTTACATATGGGGAAAAGCCACGAAAACGTTGATGCCGTCCAGCCTCGTTCGCGGGATTCGAATCTCGGACCGAAACTACCTGCGTTCAGCGACTCTACCGCTCCGGCGGGCTGGTGGGCTTGTTAGCAGAATTATACTGTATTATTATTGTATATGCTATAAAGTAACAATGCTATAAAGACTGAGGGTTTGTTCATGGAATAGTACTTTTGTAACCTATTATAGTATTAAAAAATCACTGTATTCCTTTGCCAAACTTTAAAAGAAAAAAAAAATAATAAAAAAATAAATAAACTGAATTCATGAATGAAAGTTCTCATTTTTATATTTGTAAAAGAGATATTGATTATTATTAGTTTTTCTATTTTAAAATGTGTCGAAACGCTGGTTTGATAAGGACTTGAACTGCAGGAGACCTACACTGATTATTTTACTTTAGTACTTCCATTGTGAAAATATTACTATCTTTTAATTATTTTCAAAGAACAAAATCTTTTGAGAAGGAAGAATATTTAAACTGAGCAGTTCTTATATACAAAATTAAAATAACAGCAATGTAATATTGAAAAAAAGGTATTAGTAATTGTGTGAAAAAAAATTGCAAAACGAATTAATCACACATACAGGATAGATTAGTTTTAATTTTGGTTATATATTTTATATTGAAAAAATATTTTCTTTCATGTTAATTATAGAATAAATTATTTAAAATAAAGCATTTTGATGCGTGTGTGATAATTGAATGCAGCAGCAATCGGCCACCATACTGTAATAGCGAATGAATTTTATTCTTTTTCCTGAAAGAAATAATTTTCATAGAAAAAGAAAATAAAAAAAGGGAAGAAATATTAAGAAAGAAATATTTCTTTCTAATTTCTTATTTAAAGAAATATTTTTCGAATAGTAAACTGTAAAATAAATTACGGGAGTGGGGAAAACAGTTTTAATGTAAACATGGGAAAAAAAAAAGAAAAAAAACTTAGTTTGCTATTAGATTGTAATGCAAATTAATCATATTATAAATTTAAAATAAAATTAAAATTGTTTATTTCTAAAAGGATTTGAAGTAAGCTTAATTCATTTACTCTTATCTATTTACCATTGCTTTCATGGTATCCCATATCATCTCTTTATTTCTTACCTCTAAATTCCTGCGTTAACTTTCTCCATTAAAAAACGAAGATTTTCCTTTCACATACACACAGCAGCACATTCTACTGCGTGTTGGTCATAATACTGTTTTGTGTCAATTTTTTTTTCGAACTACAAATACAGCGTGTGAGTTAGTGAAATAATGTTGAATATTCCTAGAACCTCAGCCAGCGCGCGCTATAAATTTCGTCACTCGTCTGTACTGCGATTGGTCTAAAGCACCTTGAAGCCTTGCCCCCTTTCCAAGTAAAGTTAAATGGTACCCACCCGCCCTACCAACTGAGGACCACAGAATGGCTTTCTCCGATAAGTTGTGATGGCTGTCCATACCGGTTCTTTTGAGTCAATATTGTTCGCTCAAGTTGTAGACAGATCCAGTGATCATAGAATAGGCGTCCTGGAAGAAAGGTTAAATTTAACCCAAAGTTCTTATAACGTACCGATGGTACTTGGGGGGGAGTACTGTGGCGTTCCGACAGATACTTCAACTTCTATTCATGAGATGGCGCCACGTGTAAAATCCAGTTCTTAATCGGAGCAGCAAAGCGACATCTTTACTCACTCAGACTTCTCGTCGGACAAGTGTACGCGACGCTTGCACGAACTGTGTTCCGAGCTCTGTGTTGATCTCTTCAATGTAATTTAAATTGTAATTTAGTATTTAATATATTCTTTTGTTATAGGAGATTGTCTACTCTTATTTTCTTTAATTATATCATGCATTAAGCACACACGACCACCAAATTTCCTCTTAAACATGGCTTGCTGTTTAAATTAAAAGTAAAAACTGGGCAGGATTTCTATCATTCCCCTAAATTTCAATCGATAATTTTTCATTAAAAATTTCACTCTGCCTTTTCAAACAAAAGAGTATTAATTAACACTATTTTGCTCCTAAAATCCCGGAAGCGTATGAACATTTAAAATTTTGAGCTGTTGAAAAAGAAGGGGGGGAAAAAACTTTCTCCTCGAATTGCTCTATTTAAATTACAGCTTGCGAGAAAGAGGGTAGTGACTCTGACTGTCGTACCCAACGACTTCATATAACATGACCAGTATATATCTCGTTGGTCGTACCGAATGGCCTGGGTTTGACGTTTAACACCCGGAGAACGCATGGATGTAATTTATTCGTCTCTTTATAGGAGACAACAATGGCCCAACCATAATAAAGAGACCACCGCTTCCGGCCTTAGTTGTGGCCAACGTCTATAAACAGCTAGAAACGGCCATTGGAAAAGAAAAATATTTCGACCCTATACTCACATTTCACTGCATAGTCTTGACGCCATAGACTCCACAATACAGGGGCGCAACCCTGAACAAGTTTACATTGTGTCTATAGAAGCTTTAATTTTTCTTCTAAAAGTTCTTTGGCTAGGGAGTAGGGGTAAAATTTGGGGGAATATATCCGTATCTTGTTTGCTTCTTTTCTCTACATTTGTTTAGATGTTCTCCTCGTTGGACATTATTATAAATGAAAGAAAGGTTCATAGTTTTCAGAATGCTATCTATGAGTACTTTAAAAAATAAAAATAAAAATTATATAAGCAATAAAATGTATTTTCGTCATCCCATTAAACTGAATTTTAATACCATAGCTAGCTACCTACCTTTGGCCACTTTAAAAAGCGCTGCTAGACATCTCTTTTATGTTTTCTGTGTTGGCATTCATAACTTTGTTGATATTTTCTGCTGGTAAGTTTTGAAACGACTTTGACTTCTAAGCGGGTGATCTCATGGAGTCTCATTCGACTGTTTATCCTGGGACGAACAGCGCAGAAGCTGTCACACCGAAACCACAGCCAACTGTAGTATGTTTCACAAATAATATATAAATAAATTATTTAGCGAATCTATTCATCTTAGTTTGCAGCTGCTCATTGTTGCGTGCGTTATGTGTAGCCAATGATACATGTATCAAATCTAAATTAATTTCCTCTAACCCAGGCATGATTAGCTTGAGTTTTCTGGAAAAATATTATATTTCATTTTCGTACAAATTGATAACGCTTTGCATTTGTAAAATATAAACCTCTTTTAAGTTATAGGAGGGTAATTAAAATTTTATAAGGAATTCAGAGCTTTTGAAGCCAAATTTTTTAAAAAGTTAAGAACAAAAAGTAAAAGTTTACAATTGGGTGCCCCTTGTTTATTGGCGATTCTTTCTTGACGCCAAGTTCGGCGCCAGGAAGTCACAATGTCAAGATGGCCGCTACACAAAAGTAAGAAGTCGAAGAATTGCATAAGATCTGTGTCCATGTACACATCGATCTGTTTTTACTTAAAAAAACATCCTAGAATTGCACAAACTAGGCATTGCGCACTGCCTTAAATATGTCCATGTACACATCAATGTATTTTCATTTAAATAAAATCGGGAAGCTAAAACAAATTTAAAACTATCGTGGTAACCAGAAGTGAAGTTTCATCGCCAAAACTTTAAAAAAAGTGTCGCCAGTCGAAGGGGCACCCAATTCTACACTAAAGCCAAAATTTTGGTAATAAGTAAATTTGTATAATTTTGCAAATTTCAAAGAAGGGTGCATAAACAATGATTCCATGAATTTGCTGTTTCTGTGTTGAGAATGCTTAGAAATATGGCATCATTAGCTATTTATATATGGTATTTTAATGCTATATTTATTTCAGACAGTACTGTCAGTGCCACAACAGTAACATATGGCAGAGTGGTTAAAACTGCTGAATGTGGGGAGTTTGACCCTGGTTGAATTCGAAGTGAATGGACTTTTGCTTGGTTGGATTTCATGATTTTTCTTCATGTTTAATTTGAATATGATTCAGTTTGCCTTTGAAAGTCCCACAAAAACACCCTTCCACCTAGATATGTAGCTTTTGTCATATTCAACCTAATCAATATATGGCAAAACATTGCCCTAGAGCAAAAATCTTTTTTCTTGAGCAAATCCAAATTTTTTCTTCATTATAGCTTCTTGTAAATGAATTTACAGAATGTTTTCATTATGTAACCGTTCACTGTTTGTCTGTTAATTGGCAAGTTTAACATTCATAAATGCAGAAGTTGGTTTGCATCAATAAGCAGTGATCATTTGTATGTTATCATTGTACTGAATTGCCTCCATGATTGAAATACTAAAGCATGGCTGCATGTTTCATTGCTATATGCATGCCATAACATTTCAAGCATTTCATTATGACTTCTTCCAAGTTAAACACAAAATTCAGTCCCACATCTCTTGTGTTTTCAAAGAAATATTTCCCTTATATTGCCACAACAAAACATCGCAAATATTTCTACTCACTATGAGTAAATACTTTTGTAGACCATGACTGTCTAACTGCAGGTTTGTGAATAAGCACTGCACTTTCACCAAGATATCCTTACCCTTTAGGTAGATGGCTTTTGTGTGCTTTTTCATACTCCAAATAACCTGTAACACAACTGCAGGTTCAGATGCATTGATTTATAATCACAAAATCCAATAAATGATTGTTAATCTAACACCAGGAAAAAGAAAAAATTCAGTTAACCTTTATATAGAAAATTTAAACTAGTTTGTGTTCATTTAGCAATAAATGTGTAAAAACATATAGAGGGAATTGAATACATAATTGCAAATTTTATAATTTGTAAATGGCATGGTAATTTCATATGAAGAGAAATATGGGCTGTCTTGGTTGTATGGTAATTAGTAATGATGGTTGCCATATTATCATAGATGAATGATGGATGTTTATAAACATATGGTATCTTTGAAGCATGAGAGCATACAAAATACCATCAATTCCAGAAGTCCACTGAAGAGTTTAGTGAGAGAGGAAGAAGGTTTGGAGACCTTGATCTTCCTCCTGGCTGTTCTCCTTCAAAATTAGTTTCGAGATAGGTAAACTCATCCTGACATCTAAAGGTTCCTAAAATCTTGGGCAGGGACAAGTCCTATACTCTCCTTGTATGCAGTCAATTTGGAGACCTGGTTTGGTGTATTTCAGATAAGAGGATTAGTAACAAATACAGTAACACAAAAATAATATGAAATAAAGTAATAACATACAGTAGTCCCGTAACTTTCCATTTTGTTGTTTTCTCTTTCCAATTTAAAAATAGTAACTGCTTATAATAACTCGCCCTAAACAATACCATTTCAAAATTTAAATGTCTTGATTCTTGCCTAACACTTATGACACAGATGCTTGCATTATGTGTCTGCAAATAATAATTTTAAATTTAGGAATCAAAACTTTTTATTAAATAGTAGGGATTAATTTGAACTGAAACCAAGTTTTTGTCTTGGACATAATGTATTTGCTCTCTACTTCTCTGTATGACAAGATTGCTGTCTTTACTTTTCTTATTACAACATCTTAAAAATGTAATATTCTTCAAGGACATTTGTAGTTATTAAGCCAATTTACTTCTGTTGGCTTAAAAAACATTTGTCAATGAAAATAAAGAAATGTTAAACTGGCCATGATTGCAAGTACCTCATTCTTCTCTTCTAAATTATTACATATGTAATAGCATTTAATTCTATAAAGTCATATTTCTGAGCATCACTGATAGTAGTGAACATATTTTATGCCCAATTACGCTTGCAAATATCATTATTTAATTTGTTATAACTTTTTTTAATTATCTAAATTATTTTCTATGAAATTTTATGTTAAACAATTTTCTAGTATGGAAACATAGCTCTGACCCAGGAAGAGTTAGAAATATTTCAACAATGTGGTAAAGAAAGTTTTTATTCACGATGTAAGTATTCTGTGAATATAACCAGCTTCTATCATAAGACTGCACATATAAGATTCTATTTATGTGCTGGCTTTAAAAAAAAGATATTTCATGTTGTAGGTTTGCCTTTTTCATTAGCTGGAATGGCTGCTACATTTATTGCTGTACAGAGAGGTAATAAATAAATATATATATATGGAAAGATAAGAATTCTGAGATTTTATATTTAATTATTAAATTGTAATATTGTGTTCTATTAATTTTTAGGAATATTAGCACCTCATCCAAAATATGGAGCAGCAATAAAAATGACAGGTAATAAATTTTAATGCATTCTAAAAAATATATATGATGGTACTGTCTTATTATTCATGCCTTTGTGCCAAGTTGTCAACTCTTTCACAACCTTGTGAACTGATGATTGATGAACACATTTGTTTGGATATATTTACAGCTTACTGGAATTATTGAAATTGCGATATCTTTGGCAACTTTCTAAATTGATGAAAAATATTTGTCTGACTCTATTTATGGGTCATAAGCATTGCTCATTCATAAATAAAGGTATAAAAAGCAAAACATTTTAAGGGAAGAAATTTAAATATATATCATTAATATGTACATTTTTATAGCCAGTAAATGCTGTTAAGTGAAATGGGAGTTAAATGTAAAATATGTCAGTCCATGGGTACTCAAATGCATACATGGTCTGTGCTTGCATGGGTTCAATATTGTCATATATGTATATATATATAAAACCTTCATATCTGCCAAATGTTAAAACTAGGAGTGCAAATAATCAAAAAGAACCTTTCTTCCTTATAAAATGCTTCTTTTTATTATTGCAGTCAAAAGTCGTTAAATGGGACACCCATAATCCGGAATGATCTATAATCCGGACCTCAAAGCTACAAACTTTCTGCGCATGCGTCGCGTTTACGTGTGCGCATAAGACCTTTACTGCTGCGAATATGTGTGTGCGCATGCGCATAATACGTTCACGCATGCGCGTTTAATGTATAATGGACGGTATAAGCTAAGCTAAAATTATCTAATTGAGTTAATGTTGCAGATTGCGTTGTTCCTTAATCTTCGAATTGGATACAGCTTATTATTTTGTGCAGACTGTTAGAGCAATTTTATAAAAGTAAGCTTGAACTTTCGATTATGTCAAATAGAATTTCCGATATATATTTAGTAATATGTAAAGGATCTACAAAGCGAAAGTATGTTTCGAAATCCATTAAACAGAAAGTGGAATTGCTGCAAAAAATGGATAAAGCATATCCTTTGATTATCTAATCATTCCAAAATATGTTTATCAATTTCACGCTGCTCTGCGGGGGGAGGGAAACGACGCGGCGCACAATGAATTGAAAGTTGATCTGTCAGCACTATCCTTATCTTCAGGACAGATGTTTTTATTTTATTTGGCTTATAATTCCTTACTAAATGTAGTATTTCGTCTTGATGTACTCTGTCTTTGATATGATTAAAATCAAGTTCCTCGTCATTATAATTCGCTTCTGATAGTGAAGAAAGTGACACAGAGGTTATTGAAAACGAAAAAATTTCGATTGACAAATTAGTCGGTATTCTCGACACAACAATTATAGAACTTGAACAGCGGAACTTTGTAACTAAACAAGAAATTATGTCTGTTTAATAGAATTAAAGAGAAATTATTATCACATGAAACGAAAGAACTTAAACAACTTACATTGAAAGAAATGTTTAATAAAGTAAACAAATAAATATTAAGCTTTTTCTTTTTGTAAATTTTGATACCCTTTAGATCATAATTGTTCTTTATTTCATAAATTACGGTTTCATATTTTTAATTTTATAATTTCTGCATGCCATCTTACCAGATTTAAACTGATGATCTATAATCCGGAATCGCCGATGAGTCCGGATTAACGACTCTTGACTGTATTTATGAAGAGAATATTACCTCTAAGAAGTCAAGAGAGCTATAGTAGATACCTCTAAAATAGTAACCAAATAAATGTATTTTGCCATTCACAAAGTCACCTGCAAGTTGGTGACTTTTCATGGGATGTGGCTTATCAGAAGTACTTGTGTTATTAGCTTTAAATTGGGAAATATTTGGTATTAAAAAATAGAGAGATATTTATAAATAAATTAAATATGAAGGTATAGTATTTCTTATGGTGGATTTTATTTTTAATAATTGCTTCAAATAAAACGATGAATAGTTTGTGATTTTTTACCATTACACTTTTGAATGATTAAACACTGTTTGCATACCAAGAAGGCTGTTTGTTATTTATCTTTCATCTGCTGTATATGTGCCTTCAAATTTTTGAAAGTTTAATCAAATTTTTTTTACACCAGCATTGGCTTGTAATGGCTGAAATATTTTTACACCAACAGCAATACTAATTAAACATCATTTTCTCTTTTGTGATAAGGTTTAATTCTTCTTAATCTAGTAATAATTTTAGATACCTTATAATTTTTGTCAGTTTTCTTCAGTGTAAATGCATAATTAATTTCAGTTTCCCTAATATATTTCACTGTAAAATACGCTGGTAATCAAAATTAAAGGATAATGAGAAAAAATGTGCTCACTAAGTTAATGTTGCAACCAATGTCCAATGCTGTAATTATGTATGTTAATTAAATACAATTCAACACAAAAGTGCACTTCCATGCATATGTGAGCACTGGAAATATGCAATTTCAGTGACTGACAGTGTGGAAGAGTAAAGATCCTTTCCTCATTTCAATATAATGAATATTGAATCTTGTAGGAAGAATAAAGCTAATTTTTCAGAATAAACAAAATACCTTTATTTAAATTTTAAAACAGAACAAAAAAAAAATAAATACTGCAGCTCTAAACTATCAAAATTTTAAACTCTTAATTACTGCAGTTAAAACTCTTATAACTATAAAAATACTCAAAAAAAATCTTAAACTCTCTAAAACAAAAATATATCAAAATCTTTCGAACCCTCTTCTTGTTGCCACACCGTAAAATGCAAGTTCTTGTCCTATTATTTATATTTCACGTTCTCTTTAAGTCTCGATCTTTATAAGTCATGATCTTTACAAGTCCCCCCACAAGAAGCACATTCGTCACCGTAGAGACAATGTTGCTCAGAGTTCATTGAGAGAGAAAGAGTTAACAGCTAACCTTGACAAAGCATCAGCATTCCCATGTGAACTCCCTTTGCGGTATGTCACAGTCATGTTATACCGTTGTAACGCTAAGGCCCAACGAGACAGTTTAGCACCATGAGGGTCGCTTTGGGTCAAGTAGTAGGTGAGGGGATTGTGATCAGACACAATCTGCACTTTGGCACCGAAAATCCATGTGTCAAATTTTTTCAAGGCTTCGATGACACAAAATGCTTCTCGTTCGACGGTTGATCATCATTGTTGACAGGGCGTTAGTTTCTTGCTGAAAAATGCTATGGGCAGTTCTTTTGTAAATGGCCTATGTTTATTATCATTCTTACCTATGGTAGGCAATCCTAGTAGCTGTTGTTCCTTATCATCTTTCCTCTGTTCTATCTTTCCAATGGCTTTGTCAAGTAGCTCATACCATTTATCAATTGTTTCAGCTTTATCAATTTCTTCAAATATGGGATTTCTGTGCTTGCTGAAAGTCCTATAAACTAAAAAAATCTCAGCAATTTTTTCTACTGCTTTTTCTAATAATTCTTCATCAACATGATGTAGATCGTCTACCTCGGACTCGGGCTCTTCTATTAATTCAGCAATTCCTTCCGTTTCTTTCTCGTCTTCCAGTTCTTCGCTGTCATCCGAATAACTTTCTGTTCAATCTTCCATGTTTTCACCCTTAAACTTGAAAGGTTTCTGTGGTTTTCAGTTTCATTGTGGATGACATTTTCCTTTTCAGTTTCAACTTTTGTTCTATAATCCAGACTTTCTTTTTCATCTCCCAGTTTCAACAGTATCTATGCTGCCCTTATTGTACTTTTTGTTTTCTGTTATCATCCAGAATTTCTTTTTCAGTAAATTGTAATAGTTCACTGTTATCTCCAAGTTTATTTTCAGTTTTAAGATCTGCAGCTTCTGTGTGTGATTTACATTTTCATTTTCAGTTACTAAGTCAGCTTTCACACTTTCCTTATGGATTATTAACTCATTCTTTTTATCATCTACTTTTTCCTTCTCGTTTCCAATTTCAGCAATATATTCTTTCTCTTCTATGTTTTCATAATCAAGATTTATTGTGTTTTATTGTCATCTGCAATTATTTCTTTTTCAGCTGCAGTTTCAGCATCATCAGTATTTTCTGTTTTGGTTACTGGCTTCACTTTAGTTTCACTTTCATGACAGTTTCTTTTTCAACTGGGATTTCAGTCTCACCCATAATTCGTTTTTACTTTCAGGTGGAATAATTTCTACATCTGTTATTTTGCTGTCAATTAACTTTTCCTCTTTGAGTTCATCTTCTGTTTCTACCCTCTTAGTTTCTTCAGTTATAATTATTCCTTCTGTGTTTCCTGTTCAACAATTTTATCTTCTATTCATTTCTGTTTTCTCTATTCTGTAAAGGGCAGTTCTTTACAACTTTCACATAATTTTTTAACATCGTGCTTAATAGTAGGCCAAAAGAATGAGTACTTGATTCGTTGAATTGTCTTTTTCTCACCGAGGTGGCCGGGCAAGCCGGCAAGAGGGATTTCATGTGCCATTCTTTAGGACTTCCCTTCTTTTTTCTAAAGGTAACACAACTTGCTTAATGTTTTCACCACAGATATATTCGGAATGAAGTAATATGCCATCATCGAAAGTATATGAATTTTGATTTTTATTTGCCCATTCAAAGCATTTTTTCAGAGTTTCGTCTTGTTCTTGATGTGTCTTGAATTCTAGTCTTACTCTATTCGTTGTTTTCCCAGACTCTATGTTTTCTTGGGAAAGCTGATTAACAACAGCCAAATTGGTAGTATTTTCTTCAACTGGTAACGGTTTATCATCTGTCTCTTTGTACTCTAAGGGGGATGCATCCCAATGACGATCACAGTTCCACAGTTTGATATTTCCACAGAGTGTTTCATAAGTGAAGAACTCAATAGCAAGTCGGTGGTAACTAGCTTTTTTGAAAAACAGCACACTTAATGGACACTCTACCGTGAAAATCATCGTCAATTTTCATCTGGAAAATCTTTAGTGGAGTAATTTCGTTTTCACCAAAAGCAGAAGATATCTCTATTTTACTTTCTCCTTCGCAAGGTATGTTGTCAACCAATTTCTCACGGGACTACTGAAATTTGTGCTCCCGTGTCTACGATTCCATTTAGAATAATATCTCCACATTTAAACTTTGACCCAGTTTTTAATTCATCTATGTTTCTAGATACGTCTACTGATTTTGAGACAGGAATAGAGATCTTGGCAGTTAGCACTTCTGGTTTTTCTTTTTCTGTAAGGGGTTGCTTGGTGTTTGTATTAAGTTGTTTTGTGCTGTTACAGAAGCACTTCTTGGTATCCGATTTTTGGTACATAACTTAGATGTATGACCTTCTTTTCCACAATTATAGCAAGTTAGTTTGAAAACTAGGCTTTTGTGGTTCGTCACTCTTACGGGATGGGTACACTCTTGGCGTGTTTTCAGCGGACAGCGATTATTTCTGAAAGCTCTTTCTGGAAGAGGAGAATGAGGTTGCCATTTTTTATTAGTTCTGTCTGCTGATGGATTACCACCAGTCCGTTTTGAGATATTACGAACACTGTCATATTCGTCAAGTTTATCAGCTAATTTGGTTGGAGAAAACGAACTTCGCCCAGTCGTCCAGAAGATGGTCTCTTACTTCATAGGGTACTCTTTTCTTAATTTGGTCAGTAATAATCAAGTCTTTTAACGCGGCAAAAATTTGTGATTTCAAGACCATTGATCCATTCTTCAAAATAACTTGTAATTTCGTAGCAAAAATCTCTCCATGATTTTTCAGCGCTCTTTTGGTGCATCACAAATTTTTTTCTAAAGCTTTCAGGATTTAATTTAAATCTCTTCAAATAAAATGGCCTTAATGTACTCATAATCTTCAAAATTTTCTTCAGATTCCCTACCAATTAATTGAATGATTTCAGATGGCATTAAAGTCAATAAACATGAAACCCAATCTTTAGGATTAATCTTTGTCCTTTAGCTTGTCTTTCAAATAAGGATAATAAAATCACAATATCATCGTGTCTTAAATTGAATTTGGGAATAAGCTTAATTAAATCAAAATTATGATGTCCATTTTCATTTGTTGGTGGAGTTTGTGTTAGTCGAACACGAGATTCAATTTCGAGTTTCCTCAATTCAAACTCCATTTGCTCTCTTTTCTGCTGTGCTTCTAATTCTTCTTTCCTTCACCTTTCCTCAAGCTCTTCTTTCTCCTTTCTTCGCTGTTCCTCAATCTCTTCTTTTTCCTTTCTTCGCTGTTCTCAATCTACTTTCTCCTTTCTTCGCTGTTCCTCAATCTCTTCTTTTTCCTTTCTTCGCGTCCTCAATCTCTTCTTGTCTCCTTTCTTCGCTGTTCCTCTTCTTTTCTTTTCCTCTCTTCAATAATCGTTAAAAACACTTCTTTAGCAAATGCTTCATCATATGTATCACTTTGAATTATTTCATTTTTTATCGCCACGATTTTCATACTTGGATCTACTTGAATTTCTAATTCAGCAGCTAAAGCCAGCAAATCCTCTTTTTTCCCACGTCCCATAAAAGCCATGTCTCGATTTTATTCAGCCAATAGACTCTTAGTTTTATGAAAAGCTATTTTTTTTTCTTTCTTTTTATTTAAATATAATTCACAATGAATTTAATTTTATTCGACACGAAAATCAATCAGTAGAATCAATACTTAATGTGTTGTTCACCTACGCTCTGGCGAGTCAAACGAAATTACATTTGAACACTGGCGTATTCATTACTTTGAAAATTACATTTGAACACTGGCGTATTCATTACTTTGAAAATTACATTTGAACACTGGCGTTCAAACGTATTCATTACTTTGACAAGTAAATAAACTAAGATTCCATGACGGAAACAATAATTAACTTTTCATAATCTTAATTAAACTATTTACGTTTCCAAGGTAAATTGAGCTCTCACCTGAATTATTTGGTTCGTAATTATATGCGGGGAAACCTCCGATCCTGTCGATTGCGTATGTGATCAAAGTATGAGTAAAAATCCTTTCCTTCATTTCAATATAACTGGATATTGAACCTTGTAGGAAGAATAAAGCTAATTTTTCAGAATAAACAAATACCTTTATTTAAATTTTAAAACAGAACAAAAAAAAAAAAATACTGCAGCTCTAAACTATCAAAATTTAAACTCTTAATTACTGCAGTTAAAACTCTTATAACTATTAAAAATACTCAAAAAATCTTAAACTCTCTAAAACAAAATATATCAAAAATCTTTCGAACCCTCTTCTTGTTGCCACACCGTAAAATGCAAGTTCTTGTCCTATTATTTATATTTCACGTTCTCTTTAAGTCTCGATCTTTATAAGTCATGATCTTTACAGGAAGCATGTTGAAATTCCGTTGTAGTGTTGATTAAATGAATGTGGTTTCTGAGAGTGATTAGTATTCAATAGTTATGGCTCATAGGCATCATTTAAGTGAGCATCAAAAGTGGCGAATAATTATTAGAATCAAAGGAGGTAAAATATAAACGGAGATTGCCCAAGATTTGAATATCCCTCAAAGTGTCTTATCAAGAGTTTGGATCTGCTTTTTAAGGCCTGTTTCAGTTGATAGACAGTCTAATCAAGGGCGACCATGAGCAACAACTGCATCAGAAGATAGTTTTCTGTCATTGTTGGCTTGAAAACTGTGAAGCAACTACAAGAAATTTTGTTTTAGACCTTAAGCCTGCTCCAGGAATTTGAATTAGCTATTCTACTGCTGCACAAATGCTTAACGAGGTTGGATATGGGAGAAACCAATAGTTTGTATCCTACTCACTCCAGCTTCCAGAGGGGCCCGTTTAAACAAGTGCCATTATAATGTTTAGTGGAGCCAAGACTACTAGGCCCAAGTATTGCTTACTGACAAGTTTAAATATAGGTATGAAAGTTTTTCTGCTAGCCAGCCAATGATTCTAGATGTGTTTTGATCTGGAGGAAGGAAGAAGCATGCAACTTGTCTTCCCTTGTGCATGAAATATCCTGTTTCCACGACCGCAGTTAAATGGTTTAAGGAAAAATCATAACCGAGCTGCATATCTCTCAAGAAGGTTCTGTAATTGCTCGGAGATATCTGGATGAGGAATTGGAACCCCAAGTTAGACTGTTTAGGGGTGCTATTGGCCCAGAGATTTTGCTAATGGATAATAATGTTCGGCCATATTGAGCATATGTGGTGTCAACTTACTTGCAAACACAAGATATCACTCGAATGCGTTGGCCACCTCATTCAACTAACTTGAGCCCAATTAAGCATGTGTGGGATGGGATGCCTTAGGGCACTAAATTTCAGTGTGCTGGACTCTCCAAGAGTTGAAAAGAAGAGTGGCATGCAATTCCACAAGTCTATGAAATCAAAATGTGATTTTGCATATCTGTCTGAGGTGATTATACACCATATTAATTTTTTTTCCCACAAGAGGGGACTTACTTTTCCCATCATTTTCCAGTTTCCATAAATTTGGTTTTAGTTTCAATATTTTGTGAATAATTGGTTGCCAAACATTGTAATTTATGTTAACTAATGCTTTTGTACACATATCTATTAATAATTTTTCATTAAGTATCAGTTGTGTTTTATTTATGTCACCATCCTTTAATTTTGATGACTAGTGTATTTATTCAAGAAGCATGCCTAGAAAGCTAAAAGTGATGAATTCTAGTAGAACCTTTTGCAGCCTAACATAATTGATGCTAGGACCTGATACTGGGCTATGGTCCGGCAACTGAGAAGTACTGGTCTGAAAGAAGTATGTATGGCACTATTATTTACACACACTATATAAAGTATTATTTCACAACACTAATACAATGAATAGCATGCTATTCTAAGCTTTAACATAATGTGCATAATCTCATACTGTAAATGCTATGTTATCTGCTTCACCAGCCCAGGAAGCTGAAGCAGCTACTGAAAAACCACCTGAGAGCGAAAAAGCATTTTTTGAGGGGGTGGGAAACTAATATTAAGAAAGCAACAGACCCAATGAAAGTTTGTAAGGTAACAACAGAATTCAAGCAAACAAAGAGTTCATAAAGCAGTTAATGAGGTAATTGTCAAGGAAAGCAAATAACAAATGGAAGCAACCAAAAATGATAGAAGAAAGCTGCTTAGGGAACAGAACTTAACTCTTCTAAATCAAAAAAGCATAAAGCAGATGAAAAAGCCATTCCGAAGAAAGCAGACAATAAATTGATTATGGGTAATGTTTAAAAAAGGTGGGGGAAGGGCCAAGCTGTGTAAATTTTAAAGTAAGTTTAACAACAGATTATTATATCCCTGATTGAGATAATTATTAACCATTAATGTATGAAAAGTGTTAAGAGAATATAAGGAATATTCTTAAAAATTTTGGGGTCCACCATCAGCTGAGAGGCGCTGCTGAATGCTGGTTGTATGGCCTAGGTTCAAATCCTTGCAAACGACCTATCAGGATGAGGGTACTCATAATTTTCCTCATGAATACAAGCCAGTTTCTCTAAAAAAGCCCTCCGTAAAGGCATCAAACCCATTAGGCAGATAGCTCTAGTGGATTTTTCATAATCTAAATCCAATCTTGAAAAATGTGGTATTTTAGCATTAGTGTATTTCAATTCATGTCTTAAAATTCATTATGGACAAAAAATTACTTATTTTATTTCAGACTTTTTATTATTGGAGTGATTTGAGAGACTTTTGCTTTCAAATATGCTTTTAATTTTTCTTATCTAAGTTGGAAGATAATGAGAAAGGCTCAATGATTAACATATTATCATATGTGATAATTCTGAACAGTTTTTTTCAATTCTGAGCATAATTTTCATCTTGTATTATAGAAATAGCAACAAATATGACAGAAAATCATTTATAACTGTACATTATTTTAAGTATTTTACTATCACTTTCTAATAAAAATACTATATGAGTTCAGTTTGTAAAAAGATTTTTACAGTCATTGTCTAAATTCTTTTATAATAATTAATAAACATATATTTTTTAGGAGCAGCTTTCATTGGCTGGCTGGTAGGAAAGATTTCATACCGAAGTAAATGTGAAGATAAATTCTTACGTTTAGAAAATAGTAAGATAGCAGATGCTATTCGAAAGAGAAGAGGCTACACTTCAGAAACGTAAGAAAATATGCAGATTTTGTATTTTAAAAATTTTTCGCCTGATACTTCCGTTTTGCACTCATATTCTCAAATTATTGCAGAAAAGGTTATCCAACTAGGCAGGTTTACTAAGTTTGAACTTCCAGTTTGTTTGAGAAAATACAGTTGATTCCATATGGTCAAAAATAATTTTATCAGCTAAAATTAGCTGCTAAATACATACCTATTGAATATCCACAATCGGCTATCTATTAAATATGGAATTCAAAATTCCAGAGACAACCCGATGACACAAACAGTACTTCCAGCAGCATTAAATAATTTGAATCCTAGTTATTAACAGTAGATAGCAATAAGACTAAGCGATAATCAAGATAAAGGGAAGTAGAAATGGAGATAGCTTAGTAGATAGTGTAATATTAATGTTACTATTTATTTTTATATGTAGGTAAATGATATAAATTAAAAAATAATACTATGATAGTTTATTCATGAATATTTTTCATTTGTTTTGCTCTCATTATAACCACATCCTGTGGAAATTGAATTATTCACATAATTTTCCTCTCGCAATTTTCATGCAGTAAAAGCACTATAGTACAGCTCCCAACTCTGCTTGGTCGTTCCTGGAACTCCATGTACTCTTGAGACTCTCCACGCTCCAACTCGTGATGCACTCGACGACACACAGAGCACGGCTCCCGACTCTTCCATTTAGTCGTTCCCAGAGCTCAACACGCTCTATCGACGATGCGTTACTGCGATACACTACAAGACTCTTTCGGTGCACTTGACGACCCACTCGGCGTTCGCTGCCCGGCTGTCAACTTGATAAACTCCGCAGGGATTGACTCGCTAGATGAGACACCAACTCGATACTAATTATCTCGCACTCTATGCAAGGCACACAGACTCGCCCTCTCGACGAGGTACACTCTAACTGACTGCAAACCAGAAGGGTTTACATAGCTTTCGGCTCATGTTCGAGAACATTCTGGGCTAAACCGGTAAGAATTCGTTCCAGAAGGTTATCTTTCCGTCCATGGCATATCGCCAATTTTGTCGCCAAATAGGCAATTTCTCGCCATATGTGGCAACCCTAAAATTGCTTTGCGGGGAAGCTATCTCACCGCTTCTGTACATTTTGTAACACTATGTATACTCAAAAGTGAACTTTGCTGCAGTTGATTTGCATTTTTATTACCTAATTACTTACATATGTTTGGCTAAAAATAAATTATGGCTGTAGCTAATTTACAATTTTTAATCTGATACTTTTATTGAGTTCAGTAATTGTTGCAAAATATATGATCATTTTGTTCATTTCTTCACTGCACCTCAGGATATACATTTAATCCATAATCACCAGGTAAATTATCAGATGAAATATATACAGGGTGATCAGCAAATAAGCCCTGATTTCAAAATTAAATATCTCTACAACAAAGATTGATAGAATTATGTGGTAAACTGTACATTTATTAGCAAAACTGTAAAAATGGTGTACAAAAGTTTAAAAAATTTAGTTATGAAAATCGTTAACAGATGGTGCTCTAATCGCAATGGCCTATCAATAGCCTTTAAAATGTTCTTCGAAGTCAAAAGTGATCAGTACAACTTTTAGCTAGTGAAAAGAGGCTAGCGTAAAAAGTGAAATAATGTATTCCATTGAACAACATGTATTTTGGTTCTGGAATTTCACTGATTAGTACATAGACCTACGGCAACACGTCGCAGTTCTCAAAACTGATTCAATGTTACAGGTTTGAAGTACACGAGCACACAAAAAATATTTAAAAATAGCCTACGGCTGTTTCCATACAAAATCAAAGTCATCAAGCCATACCCATGAAAGCTGTGCAACAAAGGGTTGACTTTGGGGTCAGATTCGACAATGATCGAACGATTTGATTGTGAGCTGCATCTGGTTCACAGATGAGGCCACATTTTCATTTGATGGATTGTTAATAAACAAAACTGGAGATTTTGTTTGTTAAAAATTATATTCTTTGTAGAAACACAGTATTCACAATAAATGTTCAAAATTGCAACCACCAGCAGTAATACATGCTTGGTAACGTAGCTAAATATATTGACAAACGTTTTGAAAAACAACAGGCATTTCGCACATGCTTGCAGCCGCAATAGATAGTTGTGCAACAAGGTCCTCCAGTGAGTCAACGGGAGTCTCGTAAATGATGCTCTTCAGATGGCCCTATAATCTAGTGTTTGTGTTTGAGCAATTTTTTTGTAATCAATAGGACCTCTAATTTTAATTTCATGAATGTGAGGTAATGTGTCGGCAACAATATTATCAGTTCCTTTAATGTATTGGATATCAGGTGTGAATGGCAAAATAAGATCTAGCTGACAATTTTAATGTGGGGAACATTTTTCAGGTTTTTGTTTGAAAGCAAATATTGGTGGTTTGTAATCAGTAAACACTGTAAATTTGTGTCCCTCTAGCATGTATCCACATTTCCAAATAGATGTGTATATTGCTAATAATTCCCTATCATAAGTACTGTATTTTATCTTAGTGGCTGTTCCAGCAGACATGCATCACGGAAATCTTCCCACGTTGCCTTAAGCAGTGTGTGCATGCAGAAGAATATTTATGAGATATTATTTTAAAGATCCATTATTGTCTGTTATTTATAGTTGGTAAATCCAATATGTACCACTTTATATATTTATTTCATTGTGAATTGCTTAATATTATATACTTCAAAATCTTTTTTACTTCTTGTTATTTTCAAGTTTAAATGCAATTTTCAATTTTGTAAACGAATGTGAAGAGCATTTAAGCTGTTTTACAGCATATATTTTACTAGTGTCATTGGTTCCATTTTATTTTATTTTGCTGTTTAATAGGTTTCAAAGTGGTTTGGGTTCTAGTGATGATACTGTGTTTAAAGATGACAGCTTTAGCTTCCCATCTAGTGATAATTATCATTCTAGTGCCGGTTCTTTGAATTTAGATGTTGATAAAAATGTGCAGTATTCTGGATTAGATGATCTTGGAAGACCGTCTACTGATAGTAAGTTTGTACATAAAGTATTTCTCTATTTTACTAATAAATATACTTAAATTAAATTTTAATGTCACTTAATTTTAAATGGCAAATATATCTAAGTGGAGTGCATTAATAAAAGTATATCATATATATATACCTAAAATATCTTGAATCTCCCCTGCACATTTTTGGGGAAAAAATGCTAATATTTATAAAAACTAGATTTGAAAACCACAATAAATGAGTAGAATTAATATTTATTGATGATGAAAGAAGAAAAAAAATTAATTAGATAATATTTTAATATCATTTGCAGTTTTATTGAGGGTATTACAGTTCTTGAAAATTTCAGATATTATAATGGTAAGCTATATGAGAATTATACAGCCAACTCTCATGTTTCCAGGGTTGATGTTCACAGTTAAAATAAGGGTCAATCCATGAGTAGTTAAGAAAAAATTTTGCAAAGAGGAAAATCCATATTATAACTTGAAAAATACTGTTAGCATATCTATGTTTTCAAGCACTTTGATCTGGAGGCTATGATTTATTTAATTATTTATCAGTATTAAATTACACACACTGAAAATAACAGAGGAATAAATATCATTAGAAATGAAGAAATTAAGATGTAAATGATATTAAAGAAAAATATAACACTGTCATTGACTTTTAACTTGTATTAAAAATTAATAAAGCATTTTATTTCTGTATTGTACAGTATTTATATATTCTGAATTATTAGTAATTTAATTAATTACTGTAACTTAAAAAAACAATACCGAAATACTGTAACATTATGTACTATCACTGCTGTTATAGATTTTTCTTTTCTATAAATATTTTTTTCTTTTTTAATGTAATAGTTTGTCATAGTAATTTTTTCACTGTTCTGCTCTAAACAACCAAAATTTTTTTAAACAGAATCAGTTAATTAGGAACTGGTCCCAACTGTTCCTGGTCGATTAATTGGGTATAGTTGATATATGTAAATATATATATATACCTCTCTAAAAAAAGAAAGTAAAATTACTTTGAATGGGACAGAGAAAATTATGCAAAAACACAATTAAAAACTGAAGCTTTGTAATTTTGTATCAAAATTTATTCCCAGATAAACCAGCAAAATTAAGCATTTTATATGTAGCAAAAAAGGTAGGGACAGAGAGCCTTTAATAGAGAAATACATAAAACATTATTTTTAAGCATAGAAATTAAAGAAAAATATTTTTGCTGAATTTTTCTTTTTGCACAATATGCTATTTATGAATTAAAAATTCTAAATTTCTTATTTTTTAGTTTTCTATTTTATATGGTTTTTGTTGCATTTCATAATTTTAAGAAGTAAAGTGAAGATTTTATAATCTTTATTAGAAAATTCTCTTTCCATTTAAGAAATATCTATGATCAGTTATGAGTCACTGAAGAATATTTCAATTAGATTTGAGATAGTGTTTTAGTTAAAGTACACTTTCATTTTATAATCACACACCCATCATAATCCAAGAATTAATAACTGATTGCAATTTTAAAACCATTTACAAATTTGATTCTTTTCCTATATACTAATTAAATACATTTTCTATCAAGGGGAAAATTTATCTTTCTCTGATGAAAATGAACAACAAAATACAAGTATAACTTATGATGAATTGCGGAAGCGAAATAGAGAGGAATTTGAAAGACAAAGCAGGCAGTCCCAAACATCAAGAACAGATCAGTCTTCACCTCCAATTCCGAGACCATGGGCTAATCCTGATATGGGACAAAGGCGATATAATACTGGTTCTGAAGGTAATGAATTTCAGTGCTTGTTGGTTATGTAGTACCTGCCAATACCTGTGTTATGTCTGCAGGTGAGGTTCATTGAAGTGCATGACGCAATCAAAACAGACTAGTTCACGACACAAACATTTATTTCTAACTAACTCATAAGACAGCAACGATGTGCTATTTATGCAGTTATATTACATTCTACTCTACTCTCGCTCACAGAGGTTCTCGGGTATAAGAGTACTGATACTCTTGAAATCAGATGCTACATCCCTCCCCACTTATTTAGAGATTTAATCTCTGAGAAGCTTTGCAGATGCGCGAAGATCGTTAAAGTCTTGGCTGGGGTTGCTGAACTCTTTATCAGAATTAACTGGAATGAGTGGCTCAGTTTTCCTTGGAACTGACGATGTTGTAAGTCCTGCTGAAGTTTGCACCGCTTCACTTCTTTGTTCAATGTCCTTGTCCGGAGCCTGAGGCTTCACGTTTGCCATCTGAAGTAGCAGCCATACGAGGTTCATAGATTACCGGTGCAGACGGAACCTCGCTCCCTCCTACCGATCTGATCTGATCGACGTGCTGGCGCAGTAAAGTTCCTTGAACGTCAATGGTATAATGCAGCGCTCCATCCTTATTTGTCACTCTGCCAATTTTCCATCGGGAATTTGCCGATCTATAATCCCGAATGGCAACCTTTTCTCCGATCTCAAAATTTCTGTCTTTGAAATCATAAGTATTCCTTCGGATGCATTCTTTCACTCTTCATTTAAGATTTGGAACAACTAAATCAATTCGAGTTCTAATTTCTCTTTTTAAGAATAACATTGCTGGACTTAACAAGGTTGTCATGTTCGGTGCCTTTCTATAATTCATGAGGAATATGGCAAGTTTTTGCTTAATATTTCCTGGATAACCTTGCATTGCACGTAATGCTTGTTTAACGGTGTGTAAACGTACCGCTCTGCTTGCCCGTTACTTGCCTGGTTTAAATGGAGCACACGTTTTTTGTGTTTAATTCCATTATTCCTTATAAAAGTTTCAAATTCCCCCGATGTGAACTGAGGACCATTGTCACTCACTACTACTAAAGGCAGTCCGTATCTTGCAAAACAGTCTCTCAAACATTCAATTGTCTGAAAGGAAATTTGTTGACTTTAAGGTATACACTTCTAGCCATTTAGAATGTGCGTCAATGATAATCAAGAACATTCGTTCAAAAATAGGGCCTGCAAAATCTACGTGAATGCGTTCCCAAGGCGCACTTGGATATTCCCAGTGATGGACCCTTGCCCTTACTGGATCTGATTTGAACTTAATACAATCGACACAGTTTCCTAGAAACTTCTTCAATATCATGATCAATTCCCTTCCAAAAGACGTAGGATCTGGCGATTGCCTTCATTTTAACGATTCCTAAATGTCCTTGGTGTAACTCTTCGAGAATTTTAACTCGGAGTTTTTTCGGAACAACTACCCTCTGACCACTCATTATACAGTCATCTTGTAAGGTGTACTCTGCTTCCCTACCTTCCAAACTTTCTCCAGATTTTAATTTCATATAAAGACGATTTAATTCTTCATCAGCTCGCGTTTCCTGAGCTATCTCCTTAGCTGTTACCGGAAGAGTTTCAATTTGGGAGAGTTGGAATATTTCAACGGCATCCTTAATGCTTAAATCTTCGGACTTAAGAGGCAGGCACGACAGGCAGTTAGCATTACCGTGTTCCTGGTATTTCGATACACAATATCAAACTGATATGCCTGCAATATCAGAGCATAATGTAAAAGTCGGGTGGCTTTGAGGATAGGAAGTCCTCTTTTCGATTTAATAATAGCCACTAAAGGTTTATGATCTGTCACCAGAGAAAATCGTCTCCCCTTTAGATATAGATAAAACTTTTTGACAGCCCAAACAATTGACAGTGCTTCTTTATCGATTTGGGCGTATTTCTGCTTTGTGTTAATCAGTGTTCTCGATGCGAATGCTATAGGCCTTTCTGTTCCATCAGACAAAACATGCGAGAGCACTAACCCAAGACCTACCGGAGATGCATTAGAAGCTAGCATCAACAGTAATGTGGGATTGTAATGCATTAAAACTCTGAACAAATTTCCTTTTTCATTTTTTCAAAAGCGAGTTGGCAGTTTTTTGACCAACTCCATTTAACATCTTTTTTTGTTAAATTATTTAAAAGATGTGTCAAAGTTGCCAAATTAGGGCAAAATTTGGCATAAAAATTCACTAATCCCAAAAAACTTTTGATGTCTTGGCCGCCTTTCGGCGTAGGGGCATTAGCAATTGCCGAAATCTTTTCATCCGTTTTATGTAATCCATCGGCATCAATTTTATGCCCTCAATTTTATGCCTAATTGAATCTCATTTTGAAAAAATTTACTCTTAGTTAAGTTTAATTTTAGGCCGTGCTCCTTGCATTTTTTTAAAAATATTTTCAATGCTTTTAAATGAGATCATCCGGTCCTGTCACTCGAGCATCATCCATAAAAATTTTAATTTCTTCGATCCCCTGAAATAATTCCTCAACATAGCGCTGCCAAATAGCTGGGACAGCATGTAATCCATACATTAAGCATTTACAAATATACAACCCCTTATGCGTGTTTATTGTTAATAATCATTGGCTCTCCGGATGCACCTTCATTTGTAGATAAGCATGACTGAAATCAAGTTTCGAAAAATTTTTACTTCCATTAAGGCAGGAAAATATTTCTTCGAGTTTTGGTAATGGATGCTGTAGCACTTCCAAATTAGGATTCAGAGTCACAGAATAATCAGCACAAAGCCTAATGGAACCATCAGATTTAACAATTGGCACAACTGGTGTTGCCCATTCTGAAGTCTCAACCCGCTCAATGATACCCTCTTTCTTGAGCCGATCAATTTCTGATTCAACTCTGTTTTTTAATGCTAAAGGTACCGGTCATGGCCTACAAAATATTGGTTGAGTATTAGGTTTCAAATTTAGTTTTACTTCGTGATTGTTAATTTCACCTAATTTACCGTCAAAAATTTCCTTATACTCCTCAAGCAATGTTTTTAAATTCAATTCATTAGGAGTTTTCAATGTTTTGATGGCATTCCAATCGAGATTGATTTTATACAGCCATTCTCGGCTGAAGATTGTGTCCAAATTGTTCTTCACAATGTATAAATTTAAAACTAATTTTTGACCTTGGTATTCAACTTTAACAGGAACATATCCTAAAGATACCACCTTATCACCCCTGTAAGTTTTAAAAACTAAATTTGTAGGCTGAATCTTTTTATTGGAAATTTTTGTAAATTTATTTATAGACAGTACCGAAACTCTTCCCCCAGTATCAAGTTCCATGCTAACTGGTTTATTTTCAATTTTAACTTGAACCATTATTGGTGGTCTTTTCAGCTCTTCCTCTCTTAACATGTGCGTTCTGGAGCTAAATCCATAGATGGAGACCTCATTTTTCGAATCATAATCATTATTTGCCTCAACTTTCTTTTGTTTAACCTGTCGGGTTTTTTTAAGCAAATAATACGCCCTTTCGATATGTCCAATTTTTTTACAAAAGCGGCATTCACTTGTTGCAAATTTATAGTTGTTTTTATTGTGATTTGCTCCTAAGCAATGCGAACAAGTTTCATTTTTACCTTTATTATTCTTAGCAACAAGGTTTTTGTTTCTGCGGTTTGGACTTATTTTTCTTGGTTTTAAGTACTTTCAGTTCTACGGAATTTCCTATAATCTCATTTGCACCCTTAACCGCCTTTTCCATCGCCAAGGCTATCTTTAATGTTTTCTCTAAATCGATATCATCTTCCTGAAATAATCGATCTAAGATATTACAATCTCGTAGACCGCTAACGAAAACATCCCTTAACATTGTATTTAACATATCCTCTTTATATTCACAAGGAATCGCTAACGAGCGTAATTCAGTGACATAACTACTAATTGATTCTCCCTCATGCTGTTTTCTATTAATAAACATGTGCTGACTAGGTATTATTAAAGCTTTAGGATTTAAATGATCCTTAAGAACCTTTTTTAGTTCTGGAAAATTTTTATCTGAAGGATTATCCGGAGAGAGTAAATTTTTCAACAAATTGTACAAGTTCGCATTCAAGCTTGAGATCAGAACTTTCCCATGCTTTTGCCTCTGGAACATTTTGAATGTCCAAAAAAGCCTCAAATCATTCTATGAACAAATCAAAATTTTCTACTGTTTCATCGAACTTATCAAAGGAAACAGAAATTTTGTCTTGTTTATGTTCCGATTTCTCTTGCAGTGCGACCATTAAAGCTTCATTCTGCTTTATCAATTCTTCAATTAACTTTTCCATCCTTTCAAAATAAAAATCAAATAACTTTCCTACCTTTTGCAGTGGGGGAATCCCCTAAATCCAAATTTCGGTTTTGCTACTACTTTACGCATGTAACCGAGTGCGCCAAGTCGGGAACAATTTTCTTCTCACACAACCTCATTGCCAACTATGTTATGTCTGCAGGTGTGGGTTCATTGAAGTGCATGACGCAACCAAAACAGACTAGTTCACGGCACAAACATTTATTTCTAACTAACTCATAAGACAGCAGCGAAGCGCTATTTACGCAGTTACATTACATTCTACTCTACTCTCGTTCACAGAGGTTCACGGGTATAAGAGTACTGATGCTCTCGAAATCAGATGCTACAACCTGCTAATAATCCTTTGGTCCCATGAAAAAACAAAAGTGATAATGAGCTGTACCATGTTACCGTTTATTCATTCATTTTGTCAACTCCATATGTGTTCTATTCTTTGCATGTGGATGGCAGTCTCAGGATCAAGGCTGACATAAGAAAGTAAATAAAATCTGAAAGCTTTTAGATTTTATATTACACCCAAAGGGGCTTTTTTTTTAACGTTTTGTGTGTTAGCTCTATTCATAATATCATGTCCATCGTACTTAAACCATAAAATTCAATTCAACAGCTATATCACAAAATAATTTTAGAAGAGAACTTCAGAATTTCCGATACAC